GCAGCTGGTGAGCTTGAAACACTGACCTTGCAATTTAAATGACTTTTCAGTCAGATGCACTAGCGCACAGTGCTTACTATGTAGAGAATGACAAATTGAAGAGGAATGGTGGTGCATTCATCATCAAAAACAACATTTCAAGATTTGTCTTGAAGATAAATGTTGTCTGTGATAAGAGAACATCCATATTCCTACAAGGAAGACCAGTTAATACCACTATTATTCAAATTTATGCACCAACCACTAGAGCTAGTAATGAAGTTTGACGAATTCTACCAACTTCTACAGTCTGAAACTGATTAAGCCTGCAATCAAGATGTACTAATAACTACTGGCAATGGGAACGCCAAAGTTAGAATCAAAGAGAAAGGATCAATACTTGGAAAATATGGCTTTAGTGATAGAAATAATGCTGGATATCACATGATGCAATTTTGCAAGACCAATGATTTCTTCATTGCCAATACCTTTTTTTAAGTAATGTAAAAGATAAGTATACCCATGGACCTCACCATATGGAATACACACAAAAATCAAATTGACTACATCTATCGAAAGAGCTTCATGTCATCAGCCAAAACAAGGCCAGGGGAAGACTGTAGACTGCACTATCAATTGCTTGTATGCAAGTTTCTACAGAAGCTGAAGAAAATTAAAACAAGCCCAGGAAAGTAAAAAATATGACCTTGAGCATATCCCACCTGAAGTTAGAAATCATCTCAAGACCTGATTAATACATTAGACATTAATGACTGAAGACCAGAAGAATTGTGGGATAACTTCAAGTGCATTTTACAGAAAGAAAGCAGAACATGATTAAGAAGACAAGAAAGAAGTTAAATATCAAGATGGATATCAGAAGAGCCTGTGAAATGTGCTCTCTGGTGTAGAGGTGTTAAAGTAAATGTATGAAATAAGGGAGGTAAAAGAGTTGAACAGGAAATTTAAAAGGGCACCTAGATGACAGTGAAACATCCAGCTGATATGAAGTCAGTGGAGATGCACAAGAATACTCAAACTTGCAGATAGTACCCATTTGACCTAGCCTCAATGGCTTGATGATCAGAATTTGACTAAAGGAAGATAAACAAAACTATTTTTGATAAAGGAAACAAGTATAAAGTCCTACAGTTTGATGAACATGACCTATACTTATGGATGTAATAGCTCCAAATACCAATTGAGAGGGAAGACGTCTTCATAAGTATCAATCCTATCCCCTCTGTATACAGATAGTTATGGGCAATTTAGACATTGACTACATAAAATGAGGGGATGATAAAGACACAAAGTGACTAGCTTACATGTTTTCAAGAGGAAGTTTAGTTTAAGAGTGTGCAGGAGAAAGTAGAATCCCCACTTAATAGTTTTCATCTTGTCTAGATTGGTCTGGGGAAAAGAGAATGGAGCATAAGTTTCTTATGAATCAATAGTGAGTATTTGTTAACATGACTAATTGCAACTGTCACAACTGTAAAGGTAGACATTTTGTAACAAAAAAGGAGGCAGTAGTTAATCTTATAGTCCTGGAACAGAAGACCCTAGGACCATCAAGGAAGAAGAGCACAAGTGAAATATCAGACCCCATCCAGAGAAACATCAACACCAGAGATGGAGGCAGAGATGAGGATATGAAGAGAGTGAGAAGCTGAGGACTGTACACTCATGGAAAGAGAGGGGCTGAGTGCTGGTGGCCAGGAGGCAGACTTGCAGACTGTGTCCTTTGGTTGTTTAAATTATTATATATTCCTGAGTGTTTTTGTGTATGTTGTTGTTGTTGTTAGGTGCCATTGAGTCAGTACTGACTCAGAGTGACCCTATGAACAACAGAATGAAACACTGCATGATCCTGGGCCAGCCTCACATTTGGTGCCACGCTTGAGTCCATTGATGCTGCCACTTGCCAATCCATCTTGCTGCGGGTCTTCCTCTTTTTTTCTGATCCTCCACCTTCCCAAAGATGACATCCATCTCCAGTGACTGATCCCTCCTGACAACATGCACGAAGTATGAAAGACGAAGTTTGGCCATCCTGGCCTCCAAGGAGCACTCTGGCTGCACTTCTTCCAACACAGATCTGTTGGTTCTTTTGACAGCTCATGACACTTTCAATATTCTCCTCCACCATAACTCAAATGCATCAATTCTTCTACAGTCTTCCTTATTAACTGTTCAGCTTTCGCATGCATATGAGGTTATTGAAAATACCATGGTTTGGGTCAGGTGCACCTTAGTCCTCAAGCTGAAATCTTTGCTCTTCCACATTATAAAAAGGATATCATGTGATATTCAGCATCTTTTCTATCACCAAGGCCATATTTCCAAATACTGGTCCTTCCTTTTTGCGCCCAGCCTTTGCATTGCAATCACCAGTAATGATCAATACATCATAATTGCATGTTTGATCAATTTCAGATTGAAGAAGTTAGTAGAATTTTTTTTCTGTTTTTGTGTATATCTCTTCCAAAAAGAAAACAAACAAACAAAAAACAGAGGGAATAGAAGTAAATACTGTTGAATGATGATGCACGGAGGAGATTGTAATCATTGCAATGAAAAGATGAGTGTAAAACCGATGTTCTACCATGTAAACGATCACTGAATTCACAATAAAAACTGAAAATAATGGGGAACTAGAGAAGACAAAGTCAAATATTAAAATGAAAAGACCTGGAGTTAGAAATCTAAAAGGGAAGAAAACACTGAGCATTTCTCAAGCTGAGTGAACTGAAGAAAAAAATCCAAGCTTCGGCTTGAATATTGAAGGATTCTTTGACCAAACTATTGAATGATACAGGAATAAATACACAGAATCATTGTTCCAAAAAGAAATGGTCCATGTTCTACCATTGCAACAGGTAGTGTATAATCAAGAGCCAATGATACTGAAGGAAGAAGCCAAAGGTTCACTGAAGGCATTGACAATGAAGAAGGCAGTGAACTCTTTCAAGAAATTGATGCAGCAAACTGATGCAGCACTAGCAGCACTCACTCATTTATACCAAGAAATTTGGAAGACAGCTACCTAGCCAAATAATCAGAAGAGATCCATATTTGTACCTATTTCAAAGAGAGGTGATTCAATGGAATGTGGAAATCATCAGACAATATTAGAAATATTGCAGGCAAGGAAAATTTTACTATAGATAATTAAAAAATGGCTGCAACAATACTTTGGGAATTGCCCAAGTATTCAAATCATACTCTATCATTAATATCACATGCAAGTAAAATGTTGCTAAATATAATACAAAAACATCTATAACCATACATTGACATAGGACTTCCAGATGTTCCAGTGAGATTCAGAAGAGGATATGGAATGAGAGATATCATTGCTAACATCAGATGGATCTTAGCTAAGAGCAGAAAACACCAGAAATATGCTACCTGCGCTTTTTGACTACACAAAGGCTTTTGATTGTGTGGATCATAACAAGCCATGGAAACCATTGTGGAGACTGAGTATTTCAGAACACTTAATTGTGCTCATGAAAAACCGATGCATAAAACAAAAATAGAATGATTTAGAATTAGGAAAGGTGTTCGCCAGGGATGTATTCTTTCACCACACTTACTCAGTATGCTGAGCGTATAATCTGAGAAGCTGGATTATATGAAGAAGAAGGTGACATTGGGATTGGAGGTAGACTCATTAACAACCTATAATATGCAGATGATACAACATTTCTTGCTGAAAGCAAGAGAACTTCAAAAACTGATGAAGATCAAACATAACAGCCTTCACTAAGTTTTATTGTAAAGAAAACAAAAACCTCACTACTTGACCAATAAATAGCATCAAGATAAATGGAAAAAAGATTGAAGATGTCAAAGATTTCCATTTGCTCTGCTCAACTATCAACACTCATGGAAATAGCAGTCAAGAAATCAAAAGACATATTGTGTTAGGAAATCTGCTGCACAAGACCTCTTTAAAGTGTTGAAGAGCAAATGTGTCACTTTGAGGGCTAAAGTGCACCTGACTCAAGCCATTGTATTTTCAATAGCCTCATATCTATGTGCAAGTTGAATAATGAATAAAGAAGACTATAGAAGAATTGACGCATTTGAGTTATAATGTTGGAGGAAAACATTAAACATACTAGGAACTGCGAGAAGAACAAAAAAAATGTGTTGGAAGAAGTACAACCAGAATGCATCTTAGAAGCCAGAATGGTCAGACTTCATCTCTCATAATCTGGGCATATTATAAGGAGAGACCAGTTCCTGCAGTACTACATCATGTTTGGGAAAGTGGAGAGTAAGCAAAAAAGAGGAACACCTCCAGTGAGGTGGATTTGCACAATGGCAGCAGCTGTGGGCTCAAGTTTAGGAATCAATGATTGTGGGATTGCTGAAGAATCAGCAATATTTCATTCTGTTGTGCATAGAGTTACTATGAGTTGGCACTGACTTGATGACAGCTAACAATACCAAAAATACTTAACTCAGATTCTAGAAAGGTTGTTCAAATGGCTTCCTGGAGAAGGTAGTTCATGAAATGTGTTTTGAACAACTAGATTGAGTTAGCAAATAACAAAAGGAGGAAGAGCAACTGAGATAGTATGTGCAACACTTACAAATATAAAAAAAAGCAATATATTTGAGTTCTTACATAATTTTTAAAGAGTATATTATCCAAGACATCAAACCAAAGCCCATGTTACTCTGCATTTAGTAAATAAGATCATAATATAGTAATCCTCAAGGTCATTACCCAAGACACCTAATCTTGCTTGTTTTTATATCAATTTTCAATTTAATACAGATGTATATAAACATATTTTTTTGTATTATGAACCTTATGAAAGCTTGTATTTCTAAGAGTAAAGCAATTTTAGACTGAGAGTAGAAGTGTATATTCCTATAAACCTGCTAGTCTACTTATCTGAAAAAAACCCCCTGTGTCTATATTACTAGAAATAAGAGAATATGTATTCCTATTTGTTGTTATTTTCACATAGTCTGTTATACATTCCAATATCGAAAACTTCCAGTTGAGATATTGATAGTCAGGACAGTATTGGAAGTCATTAATTTTCTTTCACATATACATATAGTTCAAATCTTAAATAAAAAGCAAAATTTAAGATTAAAGCTAATTCCAGTGAGGATAAGAAAATATTTAAAATGATATCTGGAATTCTGAATATGTCAAAATACGCATAATATTATGAGGTCTATAAGGAGTGCTGTGTTTCTTGTGGAAGACTGCTTATGAAATCCTAGAATCCCTATGCATATATCTTTGCCAATATAGGGCTTAGTTCAAATTGACGGTTATCATAGTAGGACTCTTTTGTTGTTGCTGTTAAATGCTATCAGTCGCTTCCTACCTAAAGAGACCCTGTATTGGGTTTCTGAGAAGCTGCTGGTGAGCTTGAACCACAGTCCAGCGCATTAACTCACAACACCATACCAGGAGTCCAGAACTTCTTTAGTTTGATGATTTAGTCTACTTTATCTATTCATACAGACATGCTGCTGCTCAATATCAACGGTGAATCAAATGAATCATTAAGATGAATAAACATAACACTTTAGGTTTTGCACTCCCTTGGTATTTAGTCATGTCTAGACAGAGCCCCAGTGTCCCAGAAAAACTAAAATGAGGACAAGGACGTTTAAGTTTAATGCAGTCTTATTCCCATGGAAACGAAAAACCAACAATAAAGTAAAGTGACAAGAGTATGGATCTTACTGAAAAATTAGATTTAGTGAAGTGATTGCCAGAATTTGAAAGGTTAGTGGGCAATGGAAGATGTTTGGTTTGTTTGTTTTATAAGCATTGGGTTTTTTAGTCAGGTTATCATTTCTCTGAGAAAATACAATTCTGTTATTTATTTTATGGTTCCATGCAGCCAATATGATGAGAATAAGCTGAAGATAATGCAAATAACATATGTTCTTGTTAATTGTTAGGTGGTGTCAAGTCAGTTCAGATTCATAGCTACCCTATGTGCAACTGAAGGAAACGTTTTCTACTCCTGCACCATCCTAACAATAATTATTATGTCTGAGTCCATTGTTAACTTCAATGTGTCAATCAATTTAATTGAGGATATTCCTATTTTTCATAGACCTTCTAATTTACCAAGCATGATATCTTGCTTCACAGACTAGCTCTTAATATTTTTTTGATAATTTTTATAGTTTTAGGTTATTAAGTTCATTTTTGTACCTAGTGTGAGATGTGGGTACTGTTTCATTTTTCTGGAAATGTATATCCAGGTTCGCCAGCACCATTTGCTAATGAGAATGTCTCTTTCTCATTTAATGAGTTTTGATCCTTTGTCAAAGATCACCTGAACACAGGTCGATGGATTTAGTTCTGGGTTTTCAGTGTTGTTCCATTAGTCTATCTGTATGTCATTGAAGCAGTACTTGGCTGTGTTGACTACCATAGTTTTTGAGATTAGAAAGAATGAGGCCTTCTATTTTGTTCTTCTTTAGTAGTACTTTGTTTATCCAGGGTCTCTTTCCTTTATATATGAAAATGCTAATTAGTTAGGTTTTTTTTTTTCCCATCTGCTGCTTTCATGGGTGTTGATAGTGGATCTAAGCAAAACAGTCTTTGAAAAATTCAGTATTTTTTCTGTTTATCCACATGTTGCTTATTGGTTCAGTTGTGAGGATTTTTGTTTCTGTATGTTGAGGTGTTAATCTATATTGAAGGCTTAGAAAATCATCAGTCAATGCTTCCAGTCCTCTTTGCTTTCAGAAAGCAATGTTGTGCCATCTGCATATCACAGGTTGTTAATGAGTCTTCTTCCAGTATTTTTCATATAAACCATCTTCTTGAATTTTGGGTCTCGTTTTAATTTTCTTCAGTTTCAGTTTGAACTTGCAAATGATAAACTGATGGATTATTCTGCTGTTGGTCTCTGGCCTGGTTCTGACTTATGTTTTTTAACTTCTCCATAGTCTTTTTCCAAAGATGTGGTCTATCTTAATTTTGTATATTCTATTTGATGAGATCCACATTTTTTTAAAATGTTTTATTGTGAATTATATGATAGTTTACATGAGAGAACTTTAGTTTTACATTCATTCCATCGTATGTCATTTCATTGCCATGGTTCCAGTCCCCTCCATGCATCATCAACCAACCAAAGGGTATATCCTAGAAACCCGCCCCTACACTTCCACCCACTGCCACCCCCAGTCTTCAGCCCACAGTCCCTCTCCCTCTCTGGATCCAAAATCTGCAGCCGCTTCTCCACGTCATTGTCTCTGTCTCTATCTCAGGCATCTCTACTTCTCTGGGTAGGGTCCCGCTCTAGGCTCTTCTCCTTTGATGGTCCTAGAGACTTCCACTCCTAGACTGGAGAATTAATCACTCCCTTCCTTTCTACAAAATGTCTACCTTTGCATTTCCAACCCTCATAATGTGTCCTGATAACCATTATTGACTATAGTATCACAAGTTACCCATATGTATTTCATTTCATCAGCTCCGCCTAGACAGATTGGATAGTACTCACTGGAGATTCTGCCTTCCTCCATGCCCCAGTGTCCAAGTAGCCCATCACTGTCTACTCTGTGTGTGGAGGGGGTGGGCATGTTTCTTGCTGTAAGGATTTGTTCCTTCTTTTAAGTCACTGCATCCGTAGGTGTAGGTCAAGTTCATCAGGTTTTATCAGATCACTCTTTGTTTTTCCTCTTCTTTCTTCTCCTGGTTGAGCTCTGATCATCCAGTCATCCGGTCCAGGTCACGTGGGTATCATCTGCAAGTGTGGGTGTTCTTGTGCATATGCCCTCTCTTCCCATCAGCTGGTAGCTCCACTCTCCACTCGACTCCTCCGTGGACACACCACTGACTCTTGGCCCAAGAGTCTCCAGGTCTCCTCACACTGCTTGCCAACCAGATCCCCAGTTGGGTCCACAGAAGCCCTCTGAACATTGTAAGGCTTAGCTTGCTGCTTCATTGCTGCTTTTACCTCACTTCCCCCTATCGGTGATGCGTGTGGTCACCAATCAGAGCGTGTATTTCCATTGAGTCTTAGTCTTGGAAGGGGGTTTGCGTTGAGAGGGCCCGACCACTTGCCTTGATGTTTTCTAGGGGTGCGATTTGTTTGTTCTTGTAGTAACAGTCCATCTGCCTCTATTGTTTTATATATTTCTTGTAGGTCTTTCTTTCAAGAAGTATCTTTTGTTCTTCTAGCCGCTCTAGGCTGGTCTGCTCATCCTTTCAAGTAGAGATTTCTCATCTCTGGAGATCTGAATGTGGTTCAGGTTTCTACCTATAGTTTTATGTATTGCAAAGGCTCCGCAGGAAGCCTTGTTCACTAGGTACACTGTAGCCCCATTTTAGGTATTCCAATCAGTCATAGGCAGAAGATGGACTTACAAGCCTTCTAGTGTGATGTTTCTGACTATTCTTTTCTCTCCCCTTCCAGTGTCTACTCTATATTATAATGCAAGGAAAACCAAGATTCAAAAAACAGCCAAGCATCTTAACATGATTCCCCCCATTCCAACCATGTCTCAATCTCTGTATCTCAGAGCCCTGCAGTTCCAAGGCTGTGCATATATCGTCCTTTATCTCTGTCCCATTTGTCCCATTCAAACATACCCAATTGTTCTCCCATCTGCCCCGTTTCTCCACTTCCCTCTCCCTCCCTGTACGTTGCCCCCCTCCCCAGCACCCAAGCTCTCCTGTGTCCAATCCCCGCCCTGGGCTCCATACTCCTCCCTTTCCCCCACCCATCACCAACTTCCCAGCAACCAACAAAGACTTCCCCCTACCCCACTTTAGTATAATTTCTTTTTCTTAGTCTTTTACAGTAGTGGTCCTATGCAGTATTTCTCTTTTTGTGACTAACTAATTTCACTAAGCATAATGTCCTCAAGGTTCATCCATGCGGTGGCTTGCCACTTCCTTGTTATTCTTCAATGTAGCATAATATTCCATTGTGTGTAGGTAACACAATTTGTTTATCCATTCTTCAGTTGATGGGCACTTTGGCTGTCTCCATCTTTTTGCTATTGTAAATAGTGCTGCTATAAACATTGGTGTGCATATATCTTCTCATGTTGTGGCTCGTTTTTCTTGTGGGTAAATAAATACCAAGTAGAGGAATTACTGGATCATAAGGTATTTCTGTGTTCAACTTTCTGAGGAAACGCCATATTGCTTTCCAGAGAGGTTGGACCATTTTGCAGTCCCAACAGCAATGCAGGAGTGTCCCAGGCTCTCCACATCCCTGCCAGCATTTATTGTCTTCTACATTTTTCATCCTTGCTATTATTATTGGTGTGAGATGATATCTCATTGTTGTTTTGATTTGCATCTTCTAATGGTTAGGGATCGTGAGCATTTCTTCATATGTTTGTTGGCTGCCTGGATCTCGTCCTTAATGAGGCGTCTGTTCATATCCTCTGCACACTTTTTAATTTGGTTATTTGTCATTTTCTTGTAGAGGTGTTGTCGATTCCTGTATATTTTAGAAATGAGTCCCTTGTCTGACATGTCATTGCAAAAGATTTTTTCCCATTCTGTGGGTTCCTTTTTGCTCTTCTGGTGAAGTCTTTTGATGTACATAAGTTTTTAATTTTTAGTATGTCCCACTCATCTATTTT